CTAGAATAACCTCTGCACATATGAAAGGTAAACGAATTATCGGGGCAGGGACCCCCTTTTTTGCTAAGTTCACTTTTTTGTGAGAAGGAAAAAACGCGCTTATGCGCCTCCGCGTCGTAGATCATGCGTGGGGGGCAGGCAGGGACTTTTCCGGGACTCTGACACTCGGTGTGCTGCTTGCATAACTATGGTTGCGTCAGTCCCGTTGTCCTCCGCCCCGGCATATCACCATGCACATCACCCCGCCATGTTTCACTTGACACACTTGGCGCCAACCGGTATGGCCGCTCTACCGAGCAGCTTGCTATACAGCGTAGCGTTCTTGATGTTCTGCGGAGCGGCCCTCCTGCTCTGGCAAGACCTGTTTTCCGCAATGGATGATTTAATTATTGCGTTAATTTCATCGTCGATGTCTTCGTTGGGAATTGCGTCCTCCTCTTTGACCTGGTTGCCATGTTGGTTCTCCTCTTTGACGTAGTTACCCTGTTGGTCCTGCTTGGAGAGACTCTCCTCTGCTGTAATGCCCCGAACTTGCGTGCCTGGGCGAGCATCTCGATGGCCATCTCGGTAGGTGACTCCGTAGCGATTTTGGTAGGCGGCCCCGTAGGTGTACTCACCCGATTTTTCCTGCGGCCAGCTTCTACCCCCCCCGTGGGGATATCCCGCCTCCACCCTGCGGGTGTTCCCCTTCAGCCTGTCACGGCCTACGTCGTTGTGCTGCTCCGGAGAAGAATCTTCTGGATCGAGTCGAAAAGTTAATTCATCTCCGGTGACAAAAAGGGAAGAGTCGCCTCGAGAAGCTGCTTCACCACGAGCGTCGTCTTTACCCCGAGAAGCATCTTCACCTCGAATGGCGTCTACACCATTTCCGCTTATGCTCAGGTACACTCTGTATTCACACTTCAACAATCTGAGGAGGTATTTATCTACCTGCTTAACCGTGGTCAGCACCCGCATGTCTTTGCAAAACAGATCAATGATGCCATCTGTTAAGTTGGTAATATACACAGGAAGCGGTTCCTGTACACGCAAAAATCTGATAAAAATTAGAAAGAACTTTGTCCATTTGAATTTCAGTAGGGGGGCGTTCTGGAAGTACTTTCCGCACCTTTCTATGATTATACAGACCATCTTGATGTTAATGAAACTGCTACATTCGGGGTCCTCCAGGAGATTGCGGAAGACTGGGCTGTTCCTATTGATCAGCAGGAATTTGTGAAGCGGGTTTGTGTAGTCGTCGAAGGAGAAGTGGTCGCCTTGGTCAACAGTGCAGTTTCCCGCTTTGCTCTCAAAAGAGCCGTCTGGGGATTTCCTCTCAAACGTGCCGTTTCCCCCCCGCAGAGCGGCTCGCCTGTTCTCGTAGAAGAGCCGATGGATGCTAGCCACGTGGTGAACGTTGGCCATGTCCGCGTCGGAAAGGGCAACCAAAAAGTACAGCAAATCCAGCACATTGCTGGAACTGAGGATCTTATAAATAAACAGTTCAGAAAATAAATGCGCATACTGAATGAGTAAGTTGAACTTCTTAAAATCGTTCTCCTCGATAATGTGTACGATGCGCTCATACAGCTCATCTATAATTTGCGTGACGAAGTTAGGTCTGTGTATGGCGATGTAGAATAAGAGAGACGCCAGGTTCCTAATCTGGTATATGCTCATATAAATTAAGAACTTAAAAATGTACTTCCTCAGTAAGGAAGTAAAAAAGAGATCATCCCAATTGAACTTCCTCACGTGGATGCTTATCTGTTCAGCGGAACTTTCTTCTATGTCATGAAAAAGTAGCTTTTTTAGGAAATTTTTTTTTTTTAAATTCTCTTCTGAATACTTCGATTTGATTCTATTCCTTTTAGCATTCTTCTTTTGGGGATCAAATTCTTGCTCTATCTTGATGCAGCATTCTTCGAAGAGCAGGTCAAACGAGGTAGAGAGATTCCTCGAGGTCTTCATTTTTTTTATCTTCTCTAATAGGTTTATAAAACGGATGTGTGTCTTTGAGTTGTTAATTAGGAGGAGAGAACAGTTTTCCAAAATGTAGAGAGACAGCTCCGCGTGATCGGATGTAAAATTCTCATTCAGAAGATGTAGGACGTCCAAAATGTACGTCATGTCTAGAAGCTTAAATTTGGCTAGCTCACAAATATACTTTATGCACTTGGTCTTCTTATTTTGGCAAGGCAATTTTTCTTTGATTAACTTTTCTGTTATTCGCTTTAGCTCCTCGATTATCGTCACCGCCATGTCCTTCCTATACACATTAATAATGGCTACATATCGGCAGTAGAAGGGAATCAAGTTCAGCACCACTTGGTTAATGTGCGTGATGCTGTTCGCCACGAGCTTTCTCTTCCTCTTTGTATTATAGTTTAGCAGAAAGGTCATCACGTGATCCTGCAGCTCCTTCTCGTTGTTCATTTGCAGCAGCTTCTCCAGGTACTTCGGGAACCCCTTCTTGGGGTCTTTCCGGGCGCCCGTCTCCAGGCCACCCGGGCTAGACGCATCAACGGCAGCGGAAGCATTAGCTGGGCTGGAAGCGTTACTCGGGCTAGACGCATCCGCGGCTGTGGAAGCGTCAACCTCCGCGGCAGAGCTCACATTCGCAATACTGGCCTCCTCCTCCTCGTCATTCAGCGCAATGTTGATATTGGAGTAGTCGGGGAATTTGGTGTAAAATGCCTTCTCCTCTTCATTGGCCCAGAAGGAGATGGATTCATCACCTGCCCCGTCCTTATCCTTCCTGTTATTATTTTTCATCTTGTCGAAGAGTTTTATGTGCTTAACGCTGGCGTCCTTCATGCCTAGCAGCTCTATCCCCACCACTTGAATAGCGTCCAAACTGGGGACCTCCAACCCTAAGTAGCAGCACAGCTTCACGCACTTATCGTACACACTAAAAAAATCGTAGTCCTCCGTCTGGAGGGGATTCCTTTTCCTCCCAATGCTGTATTCATTGATGAGGTGCTCTCCGTAGAGGTAGACAAGCAGATTCATCATACTGCTGTAGTAGAACACGTGCAGGAAGTTCACCACGTGATTTCTCACCTCGCCCAGACGGAGGGCGGCACCAGCTGCGTTGGAGACGTTAGCTGTGTTAGCGGCGTCAGAGGGGTTTCCCCCCTTTGCTGCGTTAACGGCGCTACCTTCGGAAGGGGTATTCGCTATGGCGTCGCCATCACTGCTGCCGCTTCCCCCAGCAGTGTCACCGCTTCCGCCGATACCCCCCCCAAACAGCGTGCCCGCATTCGAGAAGACGTAGTCGTACGTCACCACCGTGCTGACAGCGAGGTGCTTCTTTACAGCACGCATCACATCCGATCTTGTTGCGTAAACATTCACGTCCCGCTTCTCCTGCGGCGACGTATCCAAGCCAATCCTGTCCCTATCCGTCACTTGCAAGTCCAACGTTAGCGTGAAGAAAAATGACATATTCATAAACATGTAGGTAAGCAGGTCCCTATTTTTGCAGATGTTCTGTAGCACCAGTTCGACGTACATGCAGAGAAGTACTTTCCTTTTCTCGTTTTTTGTTTTCACTTTTTTTAGGAGATTCGGATCGTTTAGCATGTCCTTTATGTATGCCTTTTGGTCCGCTTGGTTGCTCTTCCACCCCTTTGTCTCCTTTCCTTCGTTTGCGAAGAGGTCGTGCTCTAGAACGAAGGGGTCCGTTTCGCGCCCCTCCTTGCGCATGTACAGGTGCAGGTTTTTCATCGCCGTGGCTTTCGCCTTCTGGAAGGTCCGCAGCTCCTTCAGTTGGAGCGCCATGCTGTCACACGGGGTTCCAGCGCCATTTGCAGGGGAGTTTTCACTTGCTTGGATAGCGGCGCTCGCCTGTGTATTCGCCCCTGCAGTCGCCCGTGTATTCTCCCCTGTATTCACCGTTGCACTCGCCTCTCCATTCGCCGCTGTATCCGGTACCACCTTCGCGCCGGAGTTGCTCTCCGAGTTGGTGGCACCGCTGCCGCGGGGCGAGGGACAAAACGTGTAATTAGCGGAGAAGCTGGACTCGCTAACATTATTGTACAATTCGTAAAAGACGAGGAAGAAGTAACTCCTGTCCTCCTGGTCCAGCCGGAAGTATTCTGAAAACACTGTCCTGTCGATGTGCTCACTCACGTCCTCGTAATGCTCATGCAGATATCGTATGAAGTTAACAAAGAGGAAGAGATCGGAGTATCTATTCACATGATGAATTAAATTCAGCACAGAATTAAATATCTCGCTCAGATATTTGGAGATGTTCAGATGCTTAATGTCCTCTAGCAATGTCTGGAGGTAGCTTTGTTCTAGGTTGGCTGAATTTGCGTTTTTTAATTTGTTAATAAATTTGTGAATATGGATTATGCTCATGTTCTTTTTGCTCTCCATGGAGGTTTTGTTTTGCTGCGATTGGTGTGTTTGCTGTTTTTCCTCTTTCTCCTCCTTTTCGCTTTGCCATGTGATCATTTTCCCCCGCAATGCATCGTTCTCCCTGGAGCTTGCAAGGTACGCCTCACGGGCATCCACCACGTTGGGACTACAATCTTCCGAGGAGGCCATTTTTTGATGTATCGAAAGGGGGTGGAGACATGGGATTCGCAAGGGTACACGGGGTAATGGTCTTTGTTTTTTCTTTTTTTTTACCCCCCACTGCTCGGCTTCTACCTTAGGGGGGAGATCGGGGCCACTTTGTCTTGTTCAGCTTTGGGTCCACTTTGCCTCGTTCCCCTTTGGAGCCACTTTGTCTCGTTCCCCTTTGGGTCCACTCAGGGAGTAACTTCTTCCCCTTTCAATTTCCCTCTCCTCCCTTATGTTTGCATCGTTCCGGGGAGACTGGCACTGAGTCACACCTGACTGCTCGGCGTGGGGTTCCCCGTAGCAATGCGCCTGGACAACGCCGTGTGGGTTACTCGCCCTAGTGAGGCTGTTCAAAATGGTAACGGCGTGCAATTAGCTAACTGCGGAAAGGGGGGGCTGCTCTTCCGCCTTTTCCGCATTTCCGTCCCCTCTTCTTAAGTAGGCTCTCCCGCGGGGACTACATGTGAGGAACGGAAAGTCAAGTAAAGAGGCGGGAAATTAGTTTTACTAATTGGGCAAAGGGAACAAAATGGAGAAATTAGAAAACGGAAAAAAAAAAAAAAAAAATCATTTCGGAACTGCGCCCTTTCCTTCACGCATGCAGTAGATCCACATGTACGAAAAGGTAAAAAAAAAAAAAAAAAAAAAAACTGTTCTCCCCCTTATGTGTAATTTCTGCTGATCCGTTTTGTCGCCCCTTCTAGTTAGCTCACAGGTACACCATCCACCAGGTGCCGAGTCACACCTTCTCTGCATGCCTCTCCACACCTCTGGCAGCGCTACGCAAGATCGGCCAGAGGGAACACATTTAGCGTAACCGAGGCGGCTTTAAAAATGGGGCCTCCCCCCTCCGTTCTCTGGGGTGAGATTTCCCTCGTAGGAGAGTTTATAGTGCCACTCCCCTTAGCGTAAGTCGCCCTCGTCCGTGGTTTGCCCCCTCACCCGTTGCAGGCGCGGGCAGACAAAAGCATACACAGTGGCAGCATACACAGTGGCAGCATACCCAGTGGAAATATACGCAGTGGGAATGGCACAACTTCTCAGTGGTTCCTCGCCATATGCAAATAACTATTCGGTAATGGACCTCAAATCAACCTTGTACGATAGGAATATTATCAAGGGAGGGGGTGCACAATTCCGATTTAGCTCCAACACGTAGGCATTTCTTTTTTTTTCCCTCCCTGAGCAGGAAGACTGCAATGAAATGAAATTTTTTTCTTCCACTCAGTTCAGTTGGTCAGTTGGTCAGTTGGTAGCTTTTGACGCTTCCCATTTCCATTTTTTTCTCATTTAAAATGGAAGTAACGGGTTATCTGTTCCGATGGTGGGCGTGGCGAAGGAAACCACGCCAGGCACAAGATATCCTTGCTGCGTTCACTTTGGTGTGTTTTTGAAAAATATTTTGCGGTAACCACTACATCTCATCAATATATGTGCATGCGAAGGGGCAATTTTCTTGCTTACGCAAAAATGTATGTACACGTGTGGAAAGCTGCTCCTAAACTCCCCCCAAAGAAAACAAGTTCACTCCATGCCGGCTATATGTATATAAAAGGAAAAAGGCGAAGTGACATTTTTGGCCCCTTTCTTATCAGTATCTCTGGTCGGTCATGACCCTGTCCCATACGAATATAATAGTTTAAGTTAACCACGCCATTGTGTTACCCTTTTTTCTTTCTTTTTTTTTTTTCCTTTTTTACGTGAGTTTTTTCCCCCTTTAGCACATCTTTCCCCACTGGCGGTGGCGCTGCAATAAGTCCCTCTCCGGGTCGCCAAAATCGAGGGCGAAAAAAAGGCAAAGAGGGGAATGAAGCAAATACAGGTGATAAACGAGTCGGAGGAGGAAACAAAATAGGAAGAAGAATCAATCGCATAATAATCCATAGTGGCATAATCGATATTCGTATAATCACAATCGAATTTTTTCTTTTAATGAAAACCGAAATGGTGAAAAGAAAGAAAAAAAAAAAAACAATTTGAATATTTTCTTCCCCCATTGTTCATCCCTTTTTTTTTATCAGCTATCATTAGGAAGACTGCTTTTTTTTTTTTTTTTTCCCATTTTTGGAAAACAAAGAAATTTCGTTCTTTTCCTTTTTTTGATTTTTTCAAGCGAGTGTACTTCTTTATAATTGGTTGCATATACAGAGGTGGGAATAACAGACGAGTTAGGGGCGACACCTTTATACTACGTTTTATATATTTTGCCTGCCCCTGCTTCACCATCACGTATGCATCCTTGCATCCATCGATAAGAAAATCATACCAGGGGAGACTTCTGCATAGCCACTTTGACTTGCGAGGATAGGAGTTTCTCTCTTTTTCTCACCGTGTTACTTTTTACCAGTGGGACAAACTCACGTGAAGGAATTTTCCACTGAAGTTTTAATTTCGGGGGGAAAAGACATCTTGAATTCCGGGCTGCCATAAACATATGGGCACGTCAGATGGGCACATAATCTAATCTTATAATATTATGAGCGTGTGAGAGGGGCCAGTACACCTGCTGGGTTGACCGCCTACGTGGGGATACCTCTCGTGTAGTACGCACTTTTTTCCACTCCCCGTTGGGTGAGCTTTTTCTTTTTCTTTTTTTTTTTTTTATCTCCTCCCCCCCGTTGTGTGAAGAGGAAACATCGCAGTGTAGTAGTGACCCATCGGTGTTTTCTCCCATCAATGTCTGCTCCCATCCGAGCGAGTGTACCTTGTAGGGCCGAGGAAGAGGCATCCCCCCCCCAAGTATAGTATCGTGCCCCCCCTGCTGTGCCATCCCTGGAGACCATGTCGAATCGGAAGAAGGTGGCATACTTCCACGACCCCGATATTGGCAGCTATTACTACGGGGCGGGGCACCCGATGAAGCCGCAGAGGATCCGCATGACGCACTCTCTAATCGTTTCGTACAATCTGTACAAATATATGGAGGTGTACAGGCCACACAAGAGTGACGTAAATGAGTTGACCCTATTCCATGACTACGAGTATGTGGATTTTCTGTCCTCCATTTCGATGGACAACTATCGTGAGTTTACGTACCAACTGAAGCGATTTAATGTCGGAGAAGCAACAGACTGTCCTGTGTTTGATGGGCTCTTTCAATTTCAGCAATCCTGTGCCGGCGCATCGATAGACGGAGCGGCGAAGCTAAATCATCATTGTGCTGATATTTGTGTAAATTGGTCAGGCGGATTGCACCATGCAAAGATGTCCGAAGCCAGTGGATTCTGCTACATTAACGATATAGTACTCGGAATCCTAGAATTATTGAAGTATCACGCACGGGTCATGTATATAGATATTGATGTGCACCACGGGGATGGTGTAGAAGAAGCCTTTTATGTTACTCATCGAGTTATGACGGTCTCATTTCACAAGTTTGGTGATTACTTCCCCGGAACAGGAGACATTACCGATATTGGCGTCCATCACGGAAAGTACTACAGTGTCAATGTGCCACTGAACGATGGCATAACGGATGACGCGTTTGTCGATTTATTTAAGGTAGTCATCGATAAGTGTGTGCAGACCTACAAACCAGGAGCAATCATACTGCAGTGTGGGGCGGACAGTCTTACTGGGGACCGATTAGGAAGATTCAATTTAACCATTAAGGGACATGCAAGATGTGTCGAGCATGTCCGATCGTATAATTTGCCTCTTCTCGTTTTAGGTGGCGGAGGTTATACCATTAGAAACGTCTCTCGATGCTGGGCATACGAAACGGGAGTTGTCTTAAATAAGCATCATGAAATGCCAGACCAGATCAGCCTAAACGATTACTATGATTATTATGCCCCCGATTTCCAGCTACATCTACAACCATCAGCCATCCCCAATTATAACTCTCCTGAACACTTGAATCGCATAAAAATAAAGATCAGCGAAAATTTGAGAAACATAGAACATGCACCCGGGGTTCAGTTTGCCTATGTCCCTCCCGATTTCTTCGATTCCGAAATTGATGACGAGTGTGATAAGAACCAGTATGAGTTGAAGGATGATAGTGGCGGCGGTCGCGCGGCGGGCACCCGGTCCAAGGAGCACTCTACCACGCATCACCTGCGCAGGAAGAATTACGATGACGATTTTTTTGACCTCTCCGACAGGGACCAGAACATCGTCCTCTGAGGGGGGAGGAAGCGGTGTTGCGAAGAAGCGGCCAAATGTTGCGGTGTAACACTCTTGCAGTGTTGCACTGTTGCAAGGTCGCATCACCGCTTCGCCTCCCAAAATGCCCCATCCACCGTTGCATGTACTTGCGGCGCTGTCGACCGTTGCGTGAACTGGAGGCCGATGCGCGCCCGTTTGTTTAAAAAGCTTTTTTTGTCTCAGTTTCTTTCCCTCCAACTTTTATTTGAAGCATAACATTTTTCCCTTCGGCCGCCACGGATCGTGGCGTGCGTTTTCACTTTTTAAATTTCGTTCGCCCCCGGAGCGGATCCATGTAGTCAGCCGATATCACCAGTTAAAATAAAAGTGTCTCACGAAAATTGCACCAAAAAATGGTGGTGTCTTATGCCAACCTGTTATGCCAACCGGTTATGCCAACTAGTCATGCCAACCGGTTATGCCAACTCGTCATGCCAACCGGTTATGCCAACTAGTCATGCCAACCGGTTATGC